TCTGTAAGTGGTATGGGACTACTTTACCAGCAAACGACAACACACGTTTCTACCAGCAGCGAAAGGTAGCTAGTGGATGTGTGTTTATGTTAGTGCGTACTTTGTTGTTCTGACCACACCTGCACTGCAGAGATCTTGGCCAGCTGAGTCGTTGTATGCTTTGTTGTTAAAACAATTAACAGTTGTCCGCTTAAAAATGGGACCAATTTCTGTTGTGAAGTACAATTTGTTAATGTGTTTTCCTTGCTCAAACATATTATCAGAATAAGATACATTTCTCACAAGATGGACTTTTTCTTGGGTCACCGACGAATTCTCCTTATCAGGTCTGCACTGAATTGTTGTGTGCTGACCAACATTTTTGAACCGGAACGTTCACTTTGTCAGTTGTGATCGTCTTCTTATAGAACCGACTGTTGGTATATTAAATTTTCAACGATTTATTGCAAGCAATAAGTAAAGCAAATGTACATAAGATAAAGGTCAATTTGGCAGCTCGTTGAAATCAGACATTGCGTACTATGCTTTCTGTACTGTGTTTCTTTATGTGATCTTCGGGAAAAGAAAACTGACCGCCGTGGCTCCCAGGTCTAAAGGAATAGATACCATGTAATGTCCTGGGAAGTAAGGATGGTGGGCCTTATGTTGACCACATCCTTATTGATTACCGACTGGTGAAAAAAAAAAAACATTTGGGTCTAGCACTATATGCCTAATACGCCAAATTGCGTGAGAAAGAATCGTTTTATGCGAGTGGTCAACGACAGACAACAAAGAAGTAAATGCAAGGTATAAGTAAAATAGCTAGCAAATGTGAAATCAGTACGGACAAATATGTCCACTTATTGGTCTGTTAGGTTATTACATAAATTGCATCCTCTGTGCATATGAATACATGTGTCTGTAAGTAACATTTATATTTTATTTGTTCAGATAGCAGAAATTCAAATGTGACAATGACAAAAAATGCATTACTTTTATTAAAACGGAGGCTGTAATAGAAAATAGCAAACTAGACTTCTATTGCACAGGCTGCTTGAATATTGCAGGCAAAAAAAAAGATGATTCTTCACACACACAAATGGATGCAAGGAACAATTAATGCAACCAGACAATATAACAAAGTTATTTAGCATTTTTATTAGAAAAATAGATATAATAATTTCATATTACATAACACTGACAAATAATCGACGTTGTAATCTCCAATGACGCTAAAGTAATTGCATACAAAGACTGAAACGAAGAAACTAAGCCTTAAAAAAAAAAATTAATTAATTTCTGAAAAAGAAAGGTAACAAAAAATAAAAGAAACAAAAATTAACATGAGAGCTAAAATGAAACATGAGCTAGTTTATTGGGGCAATCAATCCCCTCATTCTATGGGAGAACATGGGCGTGTACAGCGGCAATCAGTAATACATTTAGGAAGTAGAAGAGGAAGTAGGCTACCCTCACTTTATAAGAGAACATGGGCGTGTACAGCGGAGATCAGTAATACATTTAGGAAGTAGAAGGGAGAGTAGGCTACCCTCACTTTATAGGAAAACATTGGCGTGTACAGCGGCAATCAGTAAACATTTAGGAAGTAGAAGGGGAAGTAGGCTACCCTCACTTTATAAGAGAACATGGGCGTGTACAGCGGAGATCAGTAATACATTTAGGAAGTAGAAGGGAGAGTAGGCTACCCTCACTTTATAGGAGGACATTGGCGTGTACAGCGGCAATCAGTAAACATTTAGGAAGTAGAAGATGTAGTAGGCTACCCTCACTCTATAGGAGAACTTTGGCGTGTACAGAGGCAATCAGTAAACATTTAGGAAGTAAAAGGGGGAGTAGTCTTCCCTCATTTCATGGAAGAACATGGGCGTGTACAGAGGCCATCAGTAATACATTTAGGAAGTAGAAGGGGAGATTTTTCCCTCATTCCATCGGAGAACAAAGGCGTGTACAGCGGCCATCAATAATACATTTAGGAAGTAGAAGGGCAAGTAGACTCACGTATGTTCAGGCAGACATGCTGACGACTTGTTCAACAGGCAGTGATTCTGTCACCAGTATGCATAATCTGATATCGACGACCAAAGATTCCAGTCCGCAACCTTAACGGAATTGTTTACAACTCCCTATAGCTCCCAGGTCGATCCCGCCTAAAATGGGCACGAAGTAATGTCTTGGTAAGTTTGGCGCCCATCGCAATGCTTACTGCATCACCCATCGTGGACCGCTTAGTCTATAAAACGTAAGCCTAGAACCATGTACCCTTGTGGGAAAAGGGTCCTTTAGTTAAAAGTGGTATGGTCTTTATCTAAAAGGATGCTACATTTATATGAAAGTAGCAGTGTACGTCTGGACTTGTGTGGCTATCATAGAGTGAAATAGAATGAAATAGATATGACTTTCCCCTGAAAATTGGTCCTAACTAAGATAGAAGGCTAAAATTAAAGACTAGTCAATGGCACACTAGTGGGCGTTTGATAATGAACAGGAAGCTGTACTGCTCGATGTGAGAGACACGGGCCAATGGTTGAACAAATATATAGAGTCACTAGAAATTCGGGTGGGAATTCAGGATTTAGAGAGTTTTGACGATGTTCCAGAAGAAACTAGCCTGAATGTGTTTGAATAAGTGTACAATTCTGAACAAGAATAAATGTGGCATTCTGTACATGAATAAATGTACAGTTTTGTAATAAATGAATGTACATGAATAAATTTAGTCTTTTTCTTTTTGAAAAGGAAAATAAGCTATGGTACACTTTTTGAAGCAAAGATTTTTTTTTTTTTTTTCGGTTAACACGGTAGCCGGAGTGAACAAATATTTTTGAAAATGAGATGAAAAGATAAAATATATAGAACGGTGCCAAGTAAATTACAGTTTACCAAATCCACCTGTGGG